CCCTTGTGCACATCACACACAGGACCATGTGTCTCACACCTATCACAAAGGCATGCAATTGTTAGCTGTGTTGGAAGTTCTGTTGCTCATTCATATCTCCACTGTCGTTGTACTTCCACAACATTCTCGAGTTTCAAATACCACTTCAAAATGGTCTTGCGCTTCTCGAATGACAGCCGTGCTTCTGCCATTTTCTTTGACTGTCCTGCCTATCACATGGTGACACTAGCATTCAATGGATTAACACCATCTTTTGAGCGAACGTCATACTACACATTGCTACTGTAGTTCAATTCAACTTCGAAAAGTAATGCATAGATAGCATCTCTTAAAATGTGTATACAGGTTTTTTTTTTGGCATCCTGGTATAATATAAGGAAGAATTTGTTTTTGTCCATATAGAAAACTATGGACCACGGGTCAAATTTGGCTTTTGACCTGTGTTTGAATGCCCTCATGAGCTAGACATGGCTTTTACATTTTTAAAAGGATACACACACACACACACACACACACACACACACGAGGAATATGTGGCAGAGATTGTATGTGGCCTGCAAAGTCGAAAATATTGGATTGTCGTAAAAGTCATGATGCATTTTTGCAATGAAAAACATAGAAAAAACACATCATGACTTTTCAGACAACCCAATATTTATTATCTGGAACTTTATACAAAAAACATGCAGACTCCTGGATTAATCACTTTTTTTTTCTCACTTATTTGCTGTATTTTTAACTTCCCACTTGTATTTGGAGTGTTTTTTAGGTCCCTCCATTCCATTTCATTTGTCTCCTTGTTTGTTTTTAACTCCAAATACCACACTGTAATGAAAATGGCTGTTTTCATTAATGAAAGTACATGAGTCAAAGGAGAGGATGAGAAAATTCAGGATCCATTTTCAGGGTGGAAATGGGAAAAGTGCAGAAATTCATACTTGGATGCCTAATTGCCCTGACATTAAATAGAGGCCTAGAGATTCAGAGAGCTCGCAGAATACGTCTCTGCCATGCCTCCCGCAAGCACTGGACCATGGAATTGGATTCTATTGATTAATTTGTAACTGTGTACAGTGCCATATGAAGCATAAAACTCCCAGAGATTTGTTCTAGGAAGCTTCTGACAAACGGAACAATGAACTGTGAAGTCCCAAGCGAATCCGAATGAGCGAGGAGGAGCTGGGAGGTTATGTGGGAGAAGGGTGCTCTGTAAAGCCTAAAATACACATTAATCATTGATTAAAGGGGGGAACAAAAGAAAGAAAACCTGGGCACTGAGAATGTAATTCTCTTCATTGATGGTGTTCTTTTCTTATGGAGCGGGTGTGTATCTGTCCGAGGTGTGTGTCTACTCACTTTAGCCATGACACAATTCACTTGTTCAATGAGACTGCACTGTCCTAGGGAGAGCTCAATCTCTGAAGTGAGTTAGAAACGCAGCCCTAGAGATGTGATGGCCACCACTGCCCATGGTTGAGACGCTTTGTCACATTTGCCATGACACCAGAAGCTTTGACCATGGCCCCAGGTTCTGCATAGTGGGACACAAAGCGTCCGCCATACCTCCACTCCACTTCTCTTTGCTTTATTATTTCCTCCTGTGGGATCAAGGGAGGAAAATGAGAGGAATAATCTGACAGACCACATGTCCTTTGCCCGGCATGAGCATGTGTGAGGTAGGCATGTAAACCTATAAGACTCTCTCCTTGGAGAGGGGAGCAGGGTGGGGTTGGAGGGGGCAGGGTGGTCAATGGTTTTCAGGCAGCGTCAAAATACGTGACAAAAACCTCCCCTGTTTTGTGAGCTTCCTACTGCACTCCAGCCAACACTAGTGTCTCCTGAGCTCTTGACCTTGGCCAACCAGCTGTCATTGTCCCGGCTGGAGCCATGTGGGGTAAGAAGACTTTTTTCTGATGGGATTTCCATGAGATCTATAAAGAAAGATGTCATGTTGATGCTATATCAGTGTGAATAATCTAGACTCTTAAAGGAAGACCAAGAGAGCAGAGGGTATGCCAAGCCTAGGAGTTCGATTTAAAATCTGGACCTTAAATGGAAGCTTATAAAAACAAACAAACAAACACACAAACAAAACAAAAACCACTGTGCTGGCCAGCGAAAAGCAACAAATTAGACATAAATATGGAAATCTAGATTGATCTCATAAACATGGCCTTGAGCAAAAGTAAAGTAGGAAAAGAATGGCTCCGTGGTTCAATCTCCTGCACAGAAGCAGCACTGCGTATGTTTCAGGGTGTGTGCGTACTGAAGGGTGTTTGTCAGCCGTGCCAGAGTGAGTGTCTCTGGGGGAAGTAGGTGAATGGGAGTCAGGCAAAGGGAAGGAGGGTGACACTCGAATCATGCGTCTGAGGTTTCCCGGAAGTAAACCCTGAGGTGGTGATTCTTGGACAAGTGACTTACAGAGGGACCGATCTCAGGAAGCTTGTAAACGAGTGAGGGAAGCAGACCGGGGCAAGGTAAAAGCTAAGCAAAGATTTGGTGTTGGGTGTCCAGTCCTGCCTGATCCCATGGGGAGCTCTGGGTTGTGAAATGTACCAGAGACTGTCCTGCTTAGAAGCAAAGGGACTGGGCTGTCATATCCCATGACAGTCAATGGCTAATGGTCTTTCCTGGTGTGTGTGTGTGTGTGTGTGTGTGTGTGTGTGTGTGTGTGTGTGCGCACACGCGCGCGCAAACTCCCCCAGGTCTCTCCAGGCAAGATGGCGTCCATCTGCCAAGGGCAATCCTCTAGAGAGGGGGTAAGTGTGGATCATGGGTAGCCAACCCTCCAGTAGCGGGTGAGGATGTGCAGCCTGGTGAAGGTGAGAGGAAGTCACGGGGTCTGCTAACCCACAGGAGGCCTTATGTGACTGGTGATGGTGAGCCTGCAGCCCCTGCCTCACCCTGGCTGTTCACCCCTAGGGTGATCCTGCTCCTTGAGGGGCTGCACGTGGAATGTTCTGGGAGAGAAAGAGACAGACCCTGCCCATGAATAAACAAAATATTGCTTTGAAGACAATGCCAAGATCCACTTAGGCTACCCTCAAGGGCCAAAGGGTCGAAATTCCACCTTAATGAGATCTGAATTCAGGGGCCAGGACTCTCCCAGCAGGCTCCTAGTTATTTTCATTGAGTGGAGTGCCTTGCTTGGACAGTTTCCAAAAGCAAAACCTCCCTGCAGTTCAAGCTGTGCCATTCTTAACACCTGCAAATGTGTGGCAGTCACCCACGGACTTGGGGGCAAAGGTGACCCGCAGCACACAGAAGCATCCTCCCTGTGACCCCCACCTTCCTTCCTCCCTTTGTTTCGACAGTTTGAAATCACTCTCCACCCCCGTCCAGCAGGAGCCCTGACTGGTTCAGGGGCTTGTGATGATCAAAACAGCAGCCCTGTTACTTTCCACCCCAGCTCAGATAACTCTTTCAGGAACCTGTGGTCTTGACAAGCAGTGATGGACTGCTTCACAGAACAAGGCAGGCACCCCTGGGAAGTGACAGCTCCTGCCCAAGCCCAGGGAGGCACCATTGCCGTGAACACGGAGCCTCTCCCAAACACAGACAGCAGAAAAGATGAACAAAAAGTCACTTTCTCATTGTCGGTGCCGTAAAAATCAGCGCTCAAGAGGATACTGCATTCATGTTGCAGACCTTAATTAAAATTCTGCGAGCAGCCCTGGGGATCATGGGACTGCGGCTGGATGTCGGCGGAGGCTGACAAATGAGAAAGGAAAATGGCCAAGATGGGTGCCTCACCTCCCTCCCGAGCCAGGTGGTTCTGAAGAGCGTTGTGGGAATAGAATTCTTGTGAACTGAGGTTTATAAAGTGAAGGGAGTCTTTGTGGCTTGACCAGGCAGCTAGAAGCAGGGCAAAGATCCTTTCAGAGAGCTGACCACTGATGGTGACCTCTACAAAATGGTGCAGAGCACTGGGTCAGAGTCTAGCTCCCACTGGACCACGTGGGCTGTGTGTGTCTCCGGGTACAATGCAGCTGCTCAGGGCCTCAGTTCTGCCACCTGCAACATGGGGGCGCTAGACTAGCTTGCTGGTCTGTTGTTAGTTGCACATTCCTATTAGTAAATAATTTTGAGCCTGCACCCTAACAAATGCGTAATTGTTTATTTACAATGTATCATGTACATTATAAAGGACATGCAACTCTAGACATAAGAGTCTAGATGAAAATAACTATAAGTAGGAGCTCTAGAATTTTCTTTTTCTACCGTTGATGTGATTTTCTTTTTCTACCACTGGGATGTGAATAATTTATTTTGGAGATTCGACCAGATAATCTGGAAAGGCTTCTCTTGATTGAAAGTCTGTGATGCCCATGCTTTCAAAGAAGACCCTTTACACCTGTACTGTCCTGTGCACTAGCCACTGGCCGCGTGTGGCTATTTGAGCCCATTAAAATGAAATAAAATGTAAAACTCAGTTCCTCAGGCATACTAACTACATTTCAAAAGCTCAATAGTTTAGTGGTTAGTGGCTACTACCTTGGTCAATGTGGATTATAGAACATTTCTGTCATCGCAGAATGTTCTATCGGATAGCCTGTTTAGTAAGTGGTTAAGATCATAGGGTTCAGTATTTAGTTACAGCAACTAACCTTTAGTGAGCACGTGCTATGTGCTAAGCATTATGGGAAGTGTTTCATAAGCACTCTCTTATTTAGTCCCTACCTATATTATCCCTATGTTATGGAATGAAAACAAGGATAGAAGAGATTAGGAGTTTCTAAGAGCTGACAACTACTTAGAGCCTGTGTTCTCCCAGCCCACCTCCCCCCACAACACACACACACACACACACACACACACACACACACACACACACACANACACACACACACACACACACACACACACACACACACACACACACATACACGGTCTTGAGCTTCATTGTCTGAGCATCATCTTTTGGGAATTCTGTGCGTATCAGCTTCTGGGAACATGCTCTCCAGACTGGTCACTACCCATGTCCTTCTTCTGCCCCACAGGTACAGAGGGACTTTCTTGCAGAGTCGTGTTCAGCTGAAAGCTGGTAGACTGCGCAAGCCACTCCGGGTGCTGAGAAAAGATGGTCACCCTCCCTCACTTGAGGGGCTGGACCCTCACAGGACCCTTGGGCAGTCTTCTTCAGAAATGGCAGGTAACGCTTTCCTTGGAGGAGAATCCAAACTGAGTGTGAAAAGGTACCAGGCTGCAGGGTGAGCAGGAGACAGCCATCTTTACCCTCAGGAACCCAAAGTCCGGCAGGGGGGACAGATGCCTGTGGGATGATGACAAAAGCGTGACATCTGTGGGGCAGTCAACAGGACCCTAAACTAGTGGACAAGGTACTGGGTAAAATACCCAGTGAGATTGATTGAGAATCCAGTATCGAGAAGTCAACAAACATCCTTGCGTACCGGCCGTGTGTGTTAGGTACAGATTCCCAGGAACCCGAACTCGTGGTGCCTCCTCTCCCCCATCTTTGAAAAGGAAATTCATTTGATTCTCTCCACAGGGCCATCACCAGGCTAAAATAGGTCAGTGGACGGGCTTGAGAGTCCACGCGAAATAGAGATATAAGTAGTTATTATGTGTGGGAGCTGCAGGGAACATTGCTTACATGTGAAGCGGTAAGAGGCGCTCTCTTCATCATGCTCGGAAATACAGAAAGGATGGAGTAATGGAGGCTGCTTCCTGGAACAAGCGCTATTTTCAGTTCTAATCACTGGGCAGCCAGCACAAATTGCTTAACTTCTCTGGACCTCAATTTCCCTCCCTTTCTCCCCTGTCTCCAGCAGTAATGAGCCCAATCTTAGCCTTGCTTGCAGGGTGTTGACTGGGGAAAATGAAGACCATCTGTGAAAAAGCTGCAGGGTCCCATCTGGCCAGCAGTGACTGAATTACCATCCTTTTGTGGCTAATTGTTGTCTGTTTGGCTCAAGGGCTGACCCTGGGCTCTGTCTGATGTTTGAGGTTTTGGTCCCTGGGGACAGTTGGCTCGACAACTCCTTCTCTGTCTTTGTGTAGCTCCAGTGCCCCCTACAGGCAGATGGCGCTTTCATGCTCCCCTTCCACTTCCAACCCCCAACCCCCAAAGCCCTTTCCCGTGGGGCAAGGACAGGACTAGTCTTGTTTCTTGGTGAGAATTCAGATCAAGATAGGTGTTTGCTCAACTGGATGACGAATTACGGAAGGAAAGCATTGTCTCTGGGGAACATGGAGGGTTAAGATCACGTGGGAGAGGCTAGAATAAGGTGGGGGGGGGGTGGATAAAGCACAAAGGTGACCAAGGAACCCGGCGTTGCCCTTTCTTCATTTTCTGTGGCCCTCGTCGGCAGCCCCATCACTTTCCTCCTTCTCAAATAGATACGGCCAATGGACTTGCCCACTGGGGTGTGCTTGGGTGATAGCACCCCTTCCAACATAACCCAACAGAAACCCCCGGAACTCTGCCAGTTGTCCCAGATGTCAGAGCTTTCCCACCAGCTCTCTCCCCAGCACCTGAAAGAGTTGAGTCAAGCTGCCCCTGGAAACGCACCTCAGCCTCCATGTTTACATCCCTGAGCTCCATGCTATGCACTGAAGGGGCGAGACAGGAAAGCCCTGCTGTCGATAAATGTGGTACAGGGTGAAGACAGACTCCCTGGGCTTGCATCACATTGGGAATGACATCGGTGGGTCCGTTAGCTCCCTTCTTGGAACTGTCTGTCTGCACAGCTAGGATGTTTATGTAGGTCTTACCCACCCAACGCCTCTGCGTGAGGATCAAGTGAGCTATCGTATGTGGCAAGGGCTCTGCAGATTCCAACGCAGACAGGTGTTGGCTGTTATCATCCACTGAGCGTAACAAGCAAGCATGCATACAAATTGGCATATGGCGAGTGACTACTGACCATGGGACATGTGGTAACAAGGGTCTCTCCCTTGTTTAGTGGAGGACAAGGTCAGTGTTAAGGGAAGAACCCCAAAAGGGAGTTTTCTTGGGAGATACAGGGTTTCTTCTGGAAATTCGGATGTAGAGAGACTAGAACTGGGGAGTGCTGACTAACGGCTCAGGGGCGAGAACGGGGAACCTGGGGAGGGCACACTGAGTCCAGGTGGGCTGGTGTGCGCTGGGCCGCGTGGGAGACGGAAGCCATTGAAGCCACTTTCCATTGGGTACCACATGTACTGGTTTCCTAGGGCTGCTGAAGAAATTGCCAGAAACTTGGTGGCTTAATACAACAAAACGCAATTTTCTTATAGTTCTGGGGGTCAGGAGTCTCCTACTTCCCCCAAAAGCTCCAGGGGAGGGTCCTTCCTGCCTCTTCCAGCTGCTGGTGGCCCTAGGCTTCCTTGGCTTGTGGCCGCATCACCCCAACCTCTGCTTCCATCTTCACGTGGCCTTCTTCCCTATGCTTCTGTGGATCAAATCTCCCTCTATCCTTCTTTTATAAGGACACTCACCATGGGATTCAGAGCCCACCCTAAATCCAGGATCATCTTATCTTGAGATTTTTAAAATTTAACTACCTCTGCAAAGACCCTTTTTCTAAGTAAGGTCGCAGTCTTGGGTTCTGTAGGTTAGGACTTGGACATATCTTTTTTGGGGGCCACTGTCCAACCTCTACACCACTTTCACAAATTTTCTCCTATCTCCAAACCAACAGAAGTGATCTTAAAATATGTTTCTAAGTAGAAAAGGCAGCGGCACACGTGGACCTTCAGTGTACACGGCGCACACAGTCTGTGCTCCTACTGTGTGCAGACAGGCTCAGTAAGAGAGCTCTATTTGAAACCTAAATCAACATATAACCATTAAAACAGAATCGCCACCAGCAGGACATGCTGCACGCTTTAGGGAAGTGTTGTCCAAGTGGTTACAGGTAGCCTCAATCCTCAGATGGGTGTGTTGGGCTGTGGGACTCACGAGTTTCTCCTTAGGAGGAAGGCCAGTGGCAGGCCGGACAGTGGGGGGGGCAGGGCCTCTGTGTGTGGCTGTGTGGATTGTGCCATAGGGGCCAATAGCCAGCTGCCACCCGGTTTGTGTGGTCTTGCGCTTTGGCTATGGGGCTGTGTCAGCCCAAAGCAAGAAGCCCCGGCTCCTCCCTGCTCACCCCACAGGGGGCGCTTTTCCACATACCCTCCAAGAGAAGTGGGTGTTTCTTTCTGATCTGCACCTGTGCCAGGTGTGCTCATGGTGACCCTGGGGGGTCCAGTGGGGTCAGAGAGACCATTTGCATTTCATTGTCCTTTTCACCCCTTCTCCCCTTTAAAACCTTCTCTCTGCCTCAGGGAGCGTTGTGCTCCCTGCCACGTGGACTAACAGTGGAGATCTTCAGACTCCCTCCATGTTGGGAGAAATCTCACTTCTGTGTGCTTCCTTTCTCAACTTCGGCACTCCTACCGAAATCCTAAGTGGCACCCCAAACTAGGGGTGCCAATGAATGGTGGATAAAACTGGAGCTGAACAGAAAAAAAAAAAAAAAGCCGAAACAAAATCTGAGTGTGGAGCGGAGACATAAGAGGCCGTCCATAGTTCCAATTCTCCCTGGGAACGTAGGCCCCCCAGTGTAGGTGACAATGTCACAGTAGCAGCCTCGCATGGTGACATATGTCTACACTTTCATGTTTATTGTTTGAGCAGCCAGTTGAGGCAGAGGCCTGGGTCACCAGTGCCCGTTTTCAAAGGGCCCCCTCCCCTGCAATTAGGGAGGAACACGGAGGACGTCCCGAAGGGCAGCTGCGAGACTGCGGGGTGTGGTCTGAGCACTGGCCCAGGAAATATTAATCATGCCCTGCGCCTCATTGAAGTGTCAGGGGAACACGATGGCCGCTTGGTAAACCAGCGAGCCGGGGTGGACAGATTGTGATGGATACCGTCGCATGGGAGGGTGGGAGAGTGCATTACAATCAATACCGCCTGGAAATCAAAGGGGTTTGGGGATTTTAGTGCCACCACTTGCCAATACCAATATTTCACAGCGGAGTGACAGGCACTCCGAGAGTGTTGGGTGTTTGAAGACAAAGTGCTGTAACTTCAAAGGGACTGAAAGATGGACCTTGGTCATCCACCATTTACAAACAACTTTCTTTTCTCCTTTGACCTGGTAGGTCCTGGGTGGAGAGATCAGAGCTGGCTTCTCAGTGAGGGAGCTGACCTCCGTGTGTGTGTGTGTGTGTGTGTGCTTGTGAGTAAATGCACATGTGTATATTTTTGGGGTGCCGGACATGTTTTCTCTGGCATGATAATGATAGGGTGATCTGTTTTGGGTGACCTGAGGGGCTATAATTTGGGAGAACTTGATGAAATCCAACAAAAATTGATAATGACCATCGGAGGGGAGTGGATTTTCCAATTAAAAAGTAGGGAAAATATTTTGCCCTGATCCTTATAGGCCAGCTAGAATCAGTAAAACAATTAAAAATAAATAGTCAGGAATACTTGTGTCCCGGGGCTGAAATAAGATGTTGGAAGTGATTGTCTTCTTTATTTTTGGAGAATCTTCCTGTCAATAATTTATGAAGATGAGAGAAAGAGAGGATGTTACTGAAAAACATTTTTTAAAAGGATGCTTAATTTCCCTCTCTTTTAAACTATTCTGATAGCTTGGTTCTAATCATTTGAATTAACAGATGGCTTGGCGGTGACGTCCTCTGCGAGCAGAAGGCCAGAGGAGTTATGAAGAATAAAGACCTAAATTATCAGGTTTTTATAGTGATTGGAAGTTTTGAGACTCTCCTGAGAAATGAGTCTGTTTTTTTAAACCTAGATTCAGTGATCCATCCTAGATAAGTTTCCGGCAAGGGGCTGGGAGAAGGGGGGAATCTTCTTTTCAGATGTCCAATAGAGTTGGCTTACTGGACACCCCAGGATAAAAGTGACTCTGGATGCGCAGGGGTGTCAATAGTTCAGAGAATACCCTTCCTCACCCACGTTCCCTTCAGGATCAGGGCTGAGGTATGGCATCAGGTGGGTTTAATCTCAGAAGTTCAAGCGGCCTCATTGGAGGGATTGGTAAAAGAAGGTTCTTAGATCCAGGCAGTGAATATGCCAAGGACAGCAAACATCTACTTGAGGGAAGACCTTACAATGCAAACATTCTTCATGGGACATCCCAGTCAGAGACTGGCTGGAGAGATAATGATTGCCATGGGATAAGGACCTTCCCTATAAAC